CCCCAAAACCCCAAAACCCCAAAACCCCAAAACCCCGATAGAGCGTTTGTGGATTGAAAATTATATGTAATTAGGGATAAACTAGTCAGAATTGATCTTGATGCCTCCAGAGTTGTCGTCTTTATCCTCAGACTTCATTTTTCTTATCTCATTGAGGATTTCGATAACCTATAAGAGGTTAGCAAGGATTTGGAAAGTTCTAGAAATTTTTGGAAGCTCTTCTACAAATTATTCAATAGATAGCAAAGGAAAGTTATAAGCTAGTCAAAATGCAAGTTTTACCATCTACAATGAAATGACAGCATCGTATAAGTGTCATAATATATTGCAACAGCTTTAGGAGATATATCGAAAAGAGACCCAGCATAAAAATTTTGAAAAGATTTTAAAATTTCAAATGCTATAATAAATTTGAGATTCCTTGTTCAGTTCTACAATTGAACTCTTAGAAAAATAAGAAACGAAAATTTCGAAAAATATTTCAACGATTTCTTATGAAATCCTTCAAAACTGGAATAACACATTCAGCTTATATAGGAGAGGGTTACCTTAAAGGATGGCATCTGGGAGCCACTCTTCCTCAAAAAGTTCTCTTTCCTTCTTATCGAAGATGCGATTGCCATTGTCTTCTTGGAGTATCCACTCTCTCAGAAGAATGCCTTCGTACTGTTAGATTTATACTGAGCTCTTTTGGCTAAATGGGAAGGTTAGTATTATAACAGTTTCCTTTATTACACATTGGGGAAATCTGAGTGTAAAAAAGTGAGTAAAAAATTATCCTGGGTTGACAGTGAGATTCAAGAATCTCAAAGAGAAATGCAAACTTTGTTACAACCTGTTTGATGAATTATAGCAAGAAATAGTACTGATTATTAAAGAAACAATATGTTTGAAACTTGAGCTAGTAAATTTATTAGATTTCAAGAGGCTTTGAAAACAGCTCATCTCAAGAATTCAATCACTCAAGATAGCCCCTAACATTCTATAACTTCTTAATAATAAAATTCTTCTCTAACTAGCCTATTTCTAATTCAAATCTGAGTCTGCAAAAACCAATACCATCTAATCCATGCTCAAAACCCCCCAAAATGCCTCAAAAACTCCTCAATCTCAGCCCTAGTCTTAATCTCCCGCAAACCGTTGCTTACCTTCTATCAGGGAAGTACGATTAACAAACTCAAATTCTCCACTTACACAAAGAGTAATTTCTTAATATTTTATAATATAGACAGCTTACTCACCTTTTCTTTTAGTCAGGTTAGTCTTGAACTCTTTGGTTTTTAGTTCTAAGGAGCGATATACCTACAATGGTTAGAGTAATGAAAATAACAAGGTATTGGTATTTAGCAAGTTCAACCCAATTGCAGGCGATTATAATTGCACTGTTTTCTGAAGAAAAGGAGTCTAAAGTATTGGTAAATGGTATAGATGCTAAATCAAGCATTAGCATCAAATTTTAAACCCAGATTCTTATACTTGGGTTAATACAACCCTAAATTGAGAAATCAGGTTTGATTAAATCGTAGCATATTTCTATATGAAGAAAATTGTTAAAATAAGCTGAGATTTCAACTTTGAACATTAGATATCTGCAATGCTTGTCACTTTTGGAAGAGGCATACTTCATAAAGGCCATCAACAGAGAATGAATATTGAGCTCTTAAGAATCTCAATTTTTTTAAAACTTGCTCATATAAGCAATTGTGTTCATTTCTTACTCCTTGTGAGGGATATATCAACGTTAAATTCTATTCTAAAATAACTTCCAGAATTTTCTGGTAATTTAAACTGCAACAGTTATTTTCAGGAAGCAAATCATGAGATTATAATATTGAAACTGGCAATTAAAAGATAGCTCCCTATTTTTGGAAATTTTAATACAAATTCCTGAAAGTCAAGCTTAAGTGGCTGCTAAGCTTAAACTGGGACTCTGAATTCTGAAGTCTTACTAATTTGGGTGAAAGCTCTAGAAGGAAAATTTCTTAGTAGTAGACTCAGCAGAGAGCAAGTAGCTTTGTAAACCAACAAATTCTGAAATGAACTCATCAGGAAATTTTCAAAATATTTTCCTAGTTAATATAGTAATCCTTACTATTAAAACTCCAGGTATATAACTCACCTTATTTTTCTCCATCTGTTCTTCATCATCTGTGATGAACTCTGGGAATAAGCTGTCGATGTCGTCTATATGAAAATAATCAAAACTGTTCTACTTATGTAAGATTTTAAGGAATCAAAATTTTGTAAGACAGGTTGAACACGAAGGAGACCTTGGAAGATTTCCAGACAAACTTCAATTATTTGATAGTGTTACCGGAAATTTAATAACCCTAAAGATTCCGAATATAAGAAAGTATCTCAAAATTGCATTTTTTGGAATGTGTCCAGCTTCCAGCGGCGAAAAGAGAACATTCATGCTCAGCCATGTTTGAGATAGATCTTGAGGCCCATTAAATAGTCTCTGAAGAACCCTGCATGAGATAAAGTAGCTGCTTACTATTTTGCTCCATTTTTACCTATATTCGTAAGAATTATAGTTTAGGACACTTCTTGGGGTTTTGGGGTTTTGGGGTTTTGGGGTTTTGGGG